GCAGTATATAATCCTTATCGTTATTGCGCTCGGCAATGCGTTTGCCCTACTATAAATCCATCAACTCTGGACAACAACACACAACGAAAGCGCGCACGATATAGAACCCCAACTCCATATCCTACCGCTGTTACTTTTGGTGATGAAGAATACACACTTGCCCGGATGGAACCTTCACTCGGTTATCTGTGTAAATTAGCAGATACTGATCAACAAAACTAAATTAGACAAGTTGATTAACTATGTTTTAAAGATTACAAAGTTTTGCATTCTTTCATTAACCACTGCATCAATGTTAAAAAAGTTGTTATTGCTAATCAATAAATTCTCAATCAATTTACTGCATGAACCTGAGCCAATAATAATAATAATAATTAAATTTGGGACTTGACACTTGTAGAATTTGTGCATTGCTAACTAGGACTAAAGTGAATGACTTGTCAATTATTATAAGAAACCCTGAACCTGCTCGGCTTTGAGTAATGCTACCTTTTCCTTAATCAACTTTCTTATAGGCCACTTGTATTTTCTACAACAATTACCATTATACGGCATCGGAACTATTCATTCTCGTTAGATCAATCACAACTACTGATTAGCAAATTAACTGTACAAAATTCAGGGTATCAGAATGAAATATTAATGTTTTCTAATTAAACTTCGCTTGCCCAGATATCAGATGCTTCCGTAAAGGGAGTTTTGGTTTTCGCAGTTGCGATTAATAAAATCTACCATCGAATTCTCGACGCATTCTCTAGATTAATATACATTTTTGCCGAAACTCTATAACTTTTATGTATCACTGATTGTTTTCGTAAACTTGCTGGTCATCCGCTATAAGAATAAATAAGATACTATACAATCACATAACATTGTTTGCGTACATGACGTCATTTCTACATGTCAAATTATATGGTTCACAAGACGATTTTCAAGCGCCAAATATCAAACACATATGCCCAAAGCAAAACATTCGCCGCGACGACAATTAACAGGTCTCATGCAACTTTCCGAAACTGTACTTCCTTTGTCGTGTCTCAATATTCACATTTCCCCATTCTTTCTACTTTCATATTCCTCCATTCGTCCATGTCGTTGTCGACCCAGGCCCATTAACCAGAGCAGCAGCAGCAAGAAAACGAGCCGAGAAAGAACCGGATCCCGTTCATCTTTCACCACGTCGTACTCTCCCCCATGACCACAAGACATTCATTTTCGTATGGGGTGCTGGATACAGTGGGCAGATTGGGCTTGGGGAGGAAAAGCTGTTCGTAGAGACTCCTGCACCGTTGAGAAAACTGAGCTATAAAAACATATGTGATATTGACGTTGGCTATTTTCATAATGTGGCCTTGACTGATAAAGGGACTGTGAGTATTAAAGCATTGATCAATGGTGTACACGTGTATTAGGAATTGAACGGGTGGGAAGTGAAGAGGAGAGGCGAAAGCATTGATGAAGAATGATGGATCGAGCGGAACAAAAGGCTGTAATCGCGAATACCGTGTCATTAATGAAATGTGCAATTTTATATTCGATCTTACTAGTTGTGGTCCTGGGGCGAGAACAATTACGGAAGTCTTGGGCGAGTTACTAAAGATTCCGAGTGGGGAGAGTACGTACCTCAACCTGTCGATGGACTGGATGGAGTAAAAATTGTGAGAGCAGTATGTGGAAGAGAGTTTACGTTTGCATTGAGTGAGGAAGGACGCTTGTATGCCACGGGAACGTTTACGGTATACGATTCATTAACACGAATAATTGATCCATTGACAGTTCTTACTTTCGTCATTTTGAGTCGATTATATTAATTTTTTTGATCTTCTTGTTTTAACCATTTAATCTTGTTCAAGTCAGCTGAAGACAATACTAAAATATTCGGTCTTTCCTGTCTGAAGCCCAACGTCTGTCAATTTACATTTACGCTCTACAAACCGACAGAGAAAATGCGATTCATCTCCCTTGCAGCTGGTCGTAATCATATGTTGGCTCTTACAGCGGATGGACGAGTTTACAGTTGGGGTGACTCTGCATATTCGTCCCTAGGTAGACGTATATCTACCCGTAATCCATACGCATGTTTGGTTCCAGAACGTATAGCAGAATTGAGTAACATTGTAATCATAGGAAGTGGGGCGCATCACTGTTTTGCGGTCAGGAGGGATGGAAAAGTATTCTGTTGGGGATTAAATGATTATGGACAATGTGGAGTTAAGAGTATCGGGACCTGTGTTGAGTTCCCGGTTCAAATAGAATTCGCAGAAGGGAAAAGAATCAGAGAGATCAAAGGAGGGAGGTACATGTCGGCTTTTTTGTTGGATGATGGCAAAGTATACATGTTTGGGAGAAAGGAATGGTTGGGAATAGGATGTAGAGGAAGCGACAAAATTGCAATAGAGCATGGCGATAAACAGAGTAACGGGCAAATGACACAACCTGGATCAGTTACCGTTCAATCGTCATCAATTGTTCCTACATCAGCTCCCTCTTCCACACCGATAATCTCATCGACGACTCATGAAAATGCTCTTTCGACGCCCAAACACTATACTGAGTTTATAGCGACTCCAACGCTAGTTCATACAAGTGCTTCCTACTGTTCAATAGCCGTCGGTTATGGCCATACTCTTGCATCCACCAAGTGTTGGAATTCGCACGCCTGGGGACGTGGGGATTTCTATGCTCTTGCCAATGCGCCAGCGAGCAGGGTTCCCGGTGCGGATGAGCATAGTCCGTATACTATAAATGATAGGAATTTGACTGGATTCAAAGTCGTCGCGGTTGGCGCAGGAACTCAGCATTCTGTTGCCTTGGCTTGGAGGGAGCAGCAATACACGCTTGTCTCATAGATGAAATATAGAATGGAGAGAGCATCTAATGGTGGGAATTTTTCGTTGCTTTAGATTGCAAAAATTTATAGTTATAGATTAATTAAGTTTCTGGCGGCTGAAGAAGTTGCCCTCGAAACTGACCTGGTGTCTTCAGTCTAATCTAGTATTGACGGCACTTTGCTTTTTTTATTAACGCAACTTTATTGTTCTTGTCACCGATTTGTGACGCAGAGTCTAAGTGTCCGTCTGTATAAACATAATTATCATAATAAATGGATGTTAATTTGGCAGCTCTACAATAATCATTTCAGCTGTGATGGCAATGACAAATTTGCGCAGGTATACGAAGATACGCGCTGTTAAAGAATATTTTCCAAATGGTTATCAAGCTTTCGAATGAGCGTATTGGTAGGCCAAGCTACTAAATGTTATGAGTATTTCAATGTAAGAGGTTTTAATGCTTCGCAAGTCGGTATATACAATTTAATTATAATTAGCGTTTAAATAAACAAGTTGCGAAATAAAAGAAAATATCAGTCATGGTATGTGGTCGCGTTCTTCAAAAATAGGCTACTGGAGCCGAGAAATAAAGTACGTAAGAACGGGGCTACTCATGTGCGAAATTCAGTGAATGGCTTAAAATGGAAACAGATCGACCAGTCGAATCCCACGCGCGTGATCACCTGACAAGTAAAACATACCCTCCAAAGAACATTGTTTACCGACGACTTTCACGCACGCGTCGACCGTTGCATACACATACTTGTCCTTTCCCAGTATCAACAAAGAAAAATCACAATGAAATTAACGTCTGATAAGAAGACCAAACGTCACAAGCATCGACACTCGCCTTATGGCAGTGAATCAACAGTAATGCCTCTTACGAATGACGGTTCGGTAAAAAAGGGAAGCGAGAATGAGGACAAAAGGGTGCATAAGGATGCGTCGCATGAGAAGACTGTAAAATTAAAGAAGCAGGAAGAGGATGTTTTGAGCCCGTCTAGCAAAGAAGTAGGAAAAGGGAAAACAAAAAAGAAGAAAAAGAATAAAGAGAGAACGGAAGAGAAGGAAAGGGAAAGGAATGGGAAAGAAGAAAAGGAAAAAGAAGAGAAGGAAAAGGGAGAAAAGGAAAAAGAAAAGAAGGGAAAAGAAGAGAAGGATAAGAAAGAGCATCGGAGGAAAGGAAAGGAAAAGGAAGAGGGAAGGAAGAGGAAGAAGGAAGAGGATAAAGAGAAAAGAAGGGAAGGAAACGAAAAGGAAAAGGAAAAGGTAGAACAGAAAGAACAGGGAAAGAAAGAGAAGGAAAAAGTAGAGGGAAAGAAGAGGAAGAAGGAAGAAGAGAAAAGTAGAGAAGAAAAGAAAAAGAGGGAAGAGAATATAAGGGAGGAAGAGAAGAGGAAAAAAGGAACAGAAAAAGAAATGGATGAAGGACAGAAAGGAAAAAAGGATGTGGGTAGAGAGAAGGGTGAGAAAAGGAAGAGAGAGAAAGGAGAGAGGGGGGAGAAAGAAGAGAAAGGAGAAAAGGGAGAGAAGGGAGAGAAGGGAGAGAAGGGAGAGAAGGGAGAGAAAGGAGAAAAGAGAGTGAAAGAAGGGGGTGAAAAGAAGGATACAAAGGAAAAGAAAGCAAAAATGAAAAGGAAAAGTGAGGAAGGGAATACGAATGAGAGGGAAGACGTAAATGGAGAGAAGGAGAAAGAACAAGAACGTCACAAGAAGAAAGCAAGAGTTGAATCGACGATTGCAAGTGAAACTGAAGATAACAGCGGAAAAAAGAAAGAGAGGAAAGAAAAGAAAGATAAAGAACCTGCGAAAGATAAAAAAGATAAGAAAGAGAAAAAAGACAAAGACAATGCAAGCAAACTCGATAAAAGCAACAACAAATCTGCCGTTGAAGATGCGTTGGTTTCGGATGATGAGAGTGTAGTCGCTTCCAAGGACCAAACGCGTTCTTTATCACATTCCACAATTCTCACCTCACATTGGCTTGACTCTCAGATCTTGAAAGAATTAGGTAGGATGCTCAAGAAAGTTACCTTTTCTTTATTCTTTGTGCAACTGTCTTTTTTTTGCTCTATACAATTTACTTTATTCTAGTTCTTTTTGTATAGGCGTTGAATTCAAAACGGGATCTTACACAAAGAAAGAAAATGCGATTATTCTAAAAGCTATGGAAGAATATAAGCAGGTAAATTAACCGAGAAAATTCTTCCAACATGAGACTAGAATTTGAATAACACGTCCATTATTCTGATTTTAGCTTCACCAACTAAGCACCGATGAGCTGCAGGGACTCATATATGGAAAAAACAGGAAAGAACACAAAGACTTTTGGAAATGCCTTGGTACCTATTTCTTGCATACCATATATCTACATGCATTGTTCACTATTTGTCCTTCTAACATTGTGAATCGCTCATGGCAGCCACTGCTCTTGGTGATAGGCCTCTCAGGTCAGTTGCACTGCATGTACAGCGAATGAACCATCCGTACAGGAGGACTCCTGCCGAGGCTCCTTGGACTCCTGAAGAAGACGAACAGTTGAAAAAGTATATTGTTTGGTTGTTGCGCTAATCCATTATCGCACTAAATGCGTATGAGGCGGGCCTAACCAGGGATCTTGATTACAGACTAGAACTCCAGTATGGAAAAAACTGGACCAAGATTGGACATCATTTGATGCGAACGGGCAGTCAATGTCGTGATAGATGGCAGGAATATATTCAATGCATAGAGTCTAGGAAGAAAGGTACGAATTATTTGTACTGCGTGCGTTTTTGGACGATACCTCCATTTGAGACAATGGCAAATGCTAATGCTAATCACGTAGGCCCTTGGTCGACAGAGGAGTGTGATCGGTTGTTTGATATTATCTCGGAAATGGTACGTAATGGCCAGTCACCTGAACGGGATATTAAATGGGGAACTGTTAGTAAGAAGATGGATAACACCAGAAGTGCAGATCAATGTCGGCAGAAATGGTAACAATTTGATTACTGTAGGATACATGAGTGAATTGTGGATTGACTTTTATATAAAACGCAGGTTTCGTAATTTACATTCTCGCCTTAAAAATACACCGGGAAAGTGGACAACCATTACCAGTATTCGTTTGTTGAAGAAGTACTTATCAGTGTGTTGTCATTTGTGATAGTATTCTTCATCATCTATCTCACTCGTTTTTTTTTTTCGTATAAATCAGACTCGACCAGTTGAAAGACGTTCATGAAGATAAGGAAGTTTTGTGGGATAGCCTTCAAGACGATATTCAATGGTATGCGAATTTTACTTTCGACACGATTCATTGGTTCGTTTATGTCTCGAATGACCAATCGTTCTTTCCATAGGAATGAGGTAGTAATCCGTGAACAATGGCACAGAATAAAGAGAACAGTCAAAGGTTGGCGGGACATGACATTTCACGGTATGTGGCTACATTGTGTGTATTTTGTACACTATTGCTTATTCTAAACGTCTCATTTGTTATGTGATATATAGAAATAATTACTGAAGCTTTGAAAAATTACGCCAAATTTCTCCCCGAAGACGAACAGTCAAGAACGACTGACGCAGAGTCTTCTGATTAAATAGATGGATCCATAACATGACATCTTAATAATAGAATCACCTATAATTTGTACTGCTAAATTTTTGTTAATAAATTTCATATAACTGTATTTTCCCCTTCTTCATATTCCAAATGACAATAAATACGAAAGCAATAGATATTTTATATCACTTGATCTAACGCGGAACGGAAACGAATCTGTTTTCTGGCTCGAGTGCAGAACTTGGCGTTGGGACACGCAGTTCATCATCCTTCGCACGTAAATCATTAGGAGCAGTGTTCAATCTAAGTTTGGACCCTTCTCTGCGTCCTTTCAATAGATCTTCGATGTGTGAAGTTATAAGATCTATAGCTGGAATGTTATCAGCTCCTCTTGGGATTATGACATCTGCAGTTTTTTTCGTCTATACAGAATTGGAAACGTTGTGTAAATATTAAATGATGATGATCGCGGTGTGATTAATGAGGTTGAAAATTACCGGTAAGATAAAATCCTCATAAGCCGGTTTGACATAATTAAGGTAATGATTAAGAACCTGGTCGAGAGAGAAATGATACCTTTGTTCTGTATCTTGAATGACTAGAGAAAAAAAAAATATCGAGTGTAAGCATTACATTGCAAGTCTATTGTCTATAAATAATTTGCTTGCCTCGTTGAGCTAATCTTTGGTCGCTGTCAACATCCACAAATATTTTCATGGATAGGAAATCACGTATCCTCTGTTCATATAATATCAAGATACCCTCAAACAGGATTACGTCCGGCGAGTGAAGTCTTTTTGCAGGGAGGCATCTGTACACATAGTTTAGGTTTGTTTTGCACGAGTACAGTTAGTTCAATAGTAATCTCATTGTCATTATTAATACGAGTTTTCGCAAAAAAAAACATACCAAATGAAAGCCGACCTTGTGCGTGTTTTATAATCATAAGACGGAAGTGCAACTTCCTTCCCTGACTTCAAGTCGCTTAGAACTTGCTCTACTAGATCAAAATCAAAAGCCGCTATTTTTTTATAGAGAAGCGAACGACGTCAAACCATAATCGGATCATCGGCTGAAAAAAAACAAACAAAATGACAGTGTCTGTTATCTTTACACGGATGGTCAAAGCTGAATTCTGCCCTCTCAGCTAGCGATCTCTCTTCGTCGGTCAGTATACGATAAAAGTCTCCAAGACTAATAACAACAACGTTGCGTAATGTTTTAGCTCGTTTACGAAGTCGGTCCATGATCATATTACAGACGGTTTTCTGTTGATAAGATTTGTAACAAAAAGTTGTCGAATTAGTACTCGACGAAATCGATATTGGGGGAGATTGGTTTATTCCATTGAGAAACACCATCGTCAGTTTTTAGGTCAATCAGTAACTTTTACTAATGAGTTTACCTTTCCACTAGCTGATCCGCCTACAAAGTATTAAAAGAAATAAATACGGGTTTTATTACAAGTCTTTTTCCGATCGATGCATATGTTTATGATATATACCAGCTACACCAATAATAAAAGGCGAATGTGTAATGGGTGTTGTCTTATCTGTCGAGGGCAAACCGTCTTGAGTCATGGTTGAATTGACGTTAATATTACCAAACAATGTTTAATATACTTTTGTCTTACGTCACGTGTTCTCACCGTCGTTTTGATTGGTAACGCATCACATATCGATAAGATATTCAGACCGGGATGAATTAATGTTACAACAAAGTCTTAGACTTTTGTTTAATGGAAAGAAATTTACTATGCCTAACACTGGATTTGCTCTCGTTACAAGAAACTTGGCTCGTACAACTCTTACTCCAGTAAACGCATTACTTAGTGCTGGGTTAGTTCGAGTAATTGATATATCATTTAGTACGCGCTTAGTCCTAACACTCTATTCATACTGCAAAGAAGGTTACCAACGATTATATAACAACGAGCTATATATCATACTCGACATGCGTGTTTGACTAGTCAACTAAGTCCTACGGCTCGCTCTTTTAATCTTGTTAATAAAGCTTACAATGCGGAAGGGTATGAATTTTTAATTTGTAAAATCGGATGGCGTTTGTTTTAGCAAAGCAGCTGTTATTCACACGCAAATTCACACGCGAATTCACACTTGAATTGAAGGTTGTATTAGTTTCAAGATATATGGATTATGAATAACCAATGAAATCATCTGTAAAGAAAGAATGGATTTACGAGAAGTATTTTTCCGGGAAATTACAAATTCTGGAATGATGCAAATGAACGAAGATTTAAAGTAACATTCTTGACAACTAATTTTGATATTAGTTGACTTGATAGAACACTGAGCGTACTTACTTAAATTACCATAAAGTACCGCAAAACATTAGACGATGAATTATCCTCTAATACTAATATTAATATTATATCGGTATAAGCAGCCCGAGTTGAATATTATTAGGACGAAAGCACGTACATACGCGTGATGTAACACAATAATTGTGAGAAAATTTATTTTGAACCCATTTCGCCAACTTCAGAATCCAGTAATTGACAACTTGATTAAATCGTCCTTAGAAAGTAAACATGAACTTAGTGGATTCCTTACGAGAAAATTTCTGACATAAAGCCAACTCAAATTGACAATGTTCGTTATGCTACCTATACCTACAAGCCTGATTCTGATGTGACGATAGTATTTTTGGAAAGTAACAAAGGCTGTATGCTAACTCTAGTGAGTGAATTTACTCACCTCCAACACGCAAGTTCAACAATGACATTAATCACTTTAGAAGATATTCCAAATGGCCCGAAAGTCGTAACAACTTTCATAAAAGAATTCACTGAGTATGAAGATTACTATTACATGGTTGCTCATAAATGGTTTTACCATTACTATCTCGATATATTCTGTTACTGCATGCAGAATACTTTTATGTAGTCCCAGCGTGGTGCATCTGTGGACGTAAATGATTATCCGATGGATGGGCTAGCAACAACAAGCAATTCGATGAGACTATTAAGAAATCTCAATTACAAACAAACTCAGCAAATCATGCCTATTTGGAATGACCGTATTTATGTTGAGGAGAATTACATATACTTATGTAGTCTACCTACTCCTGAATGCATTAAATTGATTCCACAGACAGACGCATAATTTATATTATGCCGAGGTAACCTACAGTATTTACTTATGCGTCATGTTTATTGAATAGTTTAGACTTATTATTATGTATCATTTTCACTGTATTCTTACCACTGATGTTTGGTTACTATCAGATTTACGTATGATGCGAGCAAACAAAAGTATTGTTTAATTAATAAAAGAAAAAAAAATAGACCCCAAGATAAATGCATTCTGTTATCGATGTAAAGCACCACAACCTGTCGATTGCAACAAGTCATTTATTATGGAATCATGGATGTATTTGGAGAGAAAATACGATGCATACATACAGTGAATCGAATACTCTCTATTACTATTGACAGGCGTACAAGAAATGGCATGATGCACACACATAAATGAATGGATAAAGTGACACTCAAAAAGATAGGGACTATTTCATGTGGTGAGCGATGTAAATGGTATTATTAACTTGCAATGCATTTAACATCGATTAATGCTGTAACGACCATTTATAGCTAACTAATGCATTCCCAGCAACCTTTGAGAATGTTCTACCACAGTATACACTCGCCATTGAATGGAACAGTCTATACTGTCAAGTATGAAAAGTATTCAGAAGTAAAGAAACGGTTGTACTCGAACGGTTTAAAAGTTTTGATGAAATGCTGGAATTATTTATTTCCGAGGTACGCAATAATATAAATAATAATAATTGGTAGTATCAATTAAAGTGGTATTTAATTTGATGCTGTAATTATTTATATTTAGTAGTTAAGAAACTATGCCAAATGCACAATAGTTTCTTTAATATTTATGGAGTGACACAAGACACAGAAATTAGAGAGTACATGATTGTTATGCAAATATGCTAACAATGGCAAATGGTAGTCTTTGTCTTATTTGGATCAAAATATTAATAAATTGATGTGGAAGATGAAATTACGGCATTTGAGGCATATTGCACTCTATCTGATGGAAAATTGGATGTGCATTCTTTTGGTGTCATTATGCATTCTATGGCAAGATAGTAATAGGTAGTTTGATAGATGTTTAGTATGCAATATTATGGGCAGACTACGACCATTATACCTGATTCCGTACCAGAGGAATAAACAAAATCAATTTGCAAATATTAATATCAACGCAACGTTGACCACTTTTATGATATAGTGACTCAAACTCTTTGAAGCCACTCCACTAATGAATTTTGGTTAATTTCGGTGTACTAGTCTTGATGTTTATTGAATTTGCCTATCATATTCAGCCCCTTTTTTCTTTAAGAATTCTTGTCAAGACAACTTGTATTTTTCTACTGGAGTCTAAGATTTTATTATGTTTGGCAAATGTTTTTAAATACACCATGTACTACTATTACTATCAAATTTTTTGTAACACGCCATGCATATAAAATCGAAAACTTGATTTTATTCGTGCTTGCATTCCTTGCCCGAATGTAGTGCTAGTATCTTGGGCCGTGCGACAGACTTTTTGACGCTCAATAAATTTTCTATAATATCTTACAAGTATCCGTTAATATGCATACTTTGAGTACCCTGAGAACCTTTTCATGAACAGGCATCTTGTCTACATTTTATTCTTATTTGATATACGGCATTCCGGCTCCATTAATTTTGTAGTATGTAGACATATTCTCATTGTACTTATTTCGACGAGCGTATACTATTGTCAGCAATGGTTTTTAACATACACGAGGTAAGTTGGTTAAACTGTCTTCTTCACCATTATTATTATCATGGTTATCCGATTCATTGGTTTTGTCAGCTTGAAAACATTATCGTGCAAACGCATACCTCAATTATTTTGAGCATACGACCACATTACTCAAGAATACAGTAGGTTTGTAAGCTGTTGATGATTATCATTTGCGTAGTTATTGTGAATTATAACATGGTATTAGTATTCGATCAGTTAATTGGTGACTGTGACGAATTTAATATCCAAGTTGATTAACAACCTTGATAACTCGTTATCAATTTCGGATAGAAGCTCATGTTTCGTTGAAGTAAGGATATTATTATTATACTTTACTTGCCATGGAGCGCGTGACGCATGTTGTGTTAAATTAAATCGTATTTTGATACCTTTTTTTTAGGACCTGTGTAAGTAATGACGAGACTTTGGAAAATCAAACGGTTTACGGATTTTAACTTTGTATCCTACTAGCTGGTTGTGAAGGAGTTGCGACATGAGACCGTCGGGGTAGATCTTCACAATGATGGAGAAGGTGTTTGACATGCGTCCTTCGATGGGCAACGTTTGCTTATGCAAGAGTCAGAAACTTTGTTCAATCGCGTACTTTATCCTATCCTCGTTTCCAAACGGAATAAATCAGGCATGTAATAGGAAATGATTGTCATTGGAGGTGTTGCGCATTTGGATTTTACTTTAAGTGAAGTTTTGAATAAACTGATGTTTTATACATATTTGCACTGATTAAACAATGCATTATGAACATCGACTTGAAATAGTTAATTATCGATCGAACAGTTTTTCCAAAGAAAACGCATGTCTTTTAAATTTGGATGTGCTACATTTTTCTAAGTATTAATTTTATGATATGGTGTGTATCAAATGCATGGACTAAGACTAGTGCGGACAAAGTAAACAAATCCATGTTATTGTTTTATTTCCAAAAACTGTTTGCAACAGGGAGGATTTGGAGAATCTAGTAATTTCTTTAAAATTTTTGTGGGAAAAATTTTAGGTATAATTATGTGACGATATTAATATTGATGGCAGAAAAAGTAATTGGTAAACGCAACTTGATAATTTAGTGTCTGATACTCTCTGAAATAAGATAAAAAGGTATGGTTGAAATAAATTCAAATTATGTTCCTGCTGCCATTGTCAGTATTGCCATGATATTTGGATTTTTTTTTTATATTTTGTATATTTTATAGGGTTGCCTTTTTTTTACCTAATAATTTGGCATCATTAATCTTAAAAACACATGAAAAAATTTCCTTCTTTAGAATGTTTCTAGTTAGTCGGTTAATCGGGACAACTGATTTCTCTTTTGTCAATTAGAAAGCAGTTATTCTCTATTATTATTTCCATCGTGAATTTGATTTTTTACATAGACCATGATATAATAATAATAATAATAATTTATAATCTTGATATATTTTGTTATTTTTATATTATTATTTTAGAAATTCGTCCATGGATTTGCTGATTGTAAAGTCAAACGTTCACATGCTCCATAATAATCATCCATCCAAAATAAAAAGAGATTGCCAAAAGGGGTTGACCATATATAATACTGACTATCGTTATATCAATATACCAAAAGTTCTATAGTCTATTGCAGATTTCTCCATTTTAATCTTTGCCAATTTATTATCCCTTTTTGTACTACATTCTAATGGATGCAACGTGAAAATGTTGTACAATTGCTTCATATTCATATCATATGACGCACTGACCAATCGCGCGCTTACATAATAATTTGTAGTTTACTCGAGTGTAGATGATTACTGAACTGAAACCTCCCGCCGATCCCGACTCGAAATGTTGCATACAACGTTTACAAGAAGGAAAAAAAAAAAGAAAAATTTATTGAACACCTGGTAGCGTGTGTCCTCTTCAACTGACCAAACACAAAGAGAAAAAAAAACCACTAAAACTAACCGATTCACAAAAAATTACATGATCACAACCTTCTCAGTAATGTATCTTTTGAAATCTCGGCGTGTCGGAAGTGATTGATTTCGTAATAAAGTATGGAAAACATTGAATCGAAGAAAAAAAAAAGGTGAAAAAACGGGGGAAAGAGACGTGAATTATACTTACAAAGAAAAACGAGATGAAAATGAATTCGTATGACAACGACATCAAAGAAAACCAAATAAAAGAAAGAAAAAAAGAAAAGAAAAAAGAAACAAGAAACACAGATCATTATTGCTTTTGAATATGGGGTTTTGCATATTTAACATTTCCAACAAAAAAAACGAAATCGAGTCTTCAACAATGGATGACATGCAGTGTGACACAGCGAGAAATAACACGCCGGGAGAGGTGTGATATACAGAAGATACTGAGAAGAAGGTGAGGGAAAAAGATTATTGACGGATGGGAGGGGGAGAGAAGAAGAGAGCGGGAAAATGCGCAAGTCTCTCAATGTTTAGGATATGCATGTTACATGCAATCGTATAAAGATGTCAGTTCACATCGCTGAGAAGTTGCTTCTCGAGAATATACTTTCCTTCTTTATATCGTTGGCTATGATCGTAAGCCTTTTCCTGTCAATCAGAAGGGAATGCGAGGAGAATGCAAGAGTTGAGTGGACAGCAAACGGTGAAGAAGAAGAAGAAGAAGAAGAAGAAAAAGAAAAGAAGAAGAAGAACAACACCACCACCACCACCACCGTCTCGGATAAATCATCAACAATGCTATGCTTGATTTCAATCATACAGAATAAATACTCACGTATTTCCACCCTAACACTGCCCGACAGCGAGAACAAATGATGTCTTTAACAGTGTGAAGACCCGTAGTCATCTGGCGATCTTCGGCAGGACCTTCTTCAACGTTAACTCTGCAAAGAACACAAGTGTCCCCCCGAAACGAAAGAAGAAGAAGAAGAAAAGACGAATCACCACACGAATTCGCGGAAAGGGGGTGGAAAGAATTTATAAGCGTGTGTAGTCTAAATACGCAATACCTTTAATATAGGTCAAGCATAGCATTTCCCTTTACTGAGAGAGATCACCAATGACAACTACTTACACAGTTTCAAAGAGATAAGCACGACCATGAACTCCTTGGAAAGCCTGTTATAACGCACCCACACTCAGTCCAATTACTACCAACGTTATACAATTCTCATACACTATAACCAAATACTGACTGCTGTTGTTCGTACTAAATAGTTGCTCGTTCCCAGGTTCAACCACCTATCCTCTCTGTATTCGTACGTCTCTCTTGTTGTGTTTGTCTGTTTATCTCTCTCTCTCTCTCTCATTTCACTCTCTCACACTCTCTTTTTCCGTCACTTGTTGAAAACCCACCTTTGATATGATATTATCACTGGTAGACAGATGTGTTCGACACTTGTTGCATCCAAAAATACGAGTTCCGTCTAAATAAGTGCGATAAGTCAAACCCATTTGTTTGTATTATAATATCGAGTTCGCTTCTCGCGTTGTTTCTTTTTCGCAAAATACTATTCCGTTTAAACTCGGGTTTTTACAAACAGTTCGGCTTGAAGGAATACACGACCCGCGGATATGCTTATCAATGTCAACTCTCACTATAAACCTATCTCAAAAGTAGAAGCAGTGTAAGGGTATATATATCGCTTGTCCTTGTTGTGAGAGTTTATATTGTCCACAGACCCCCAAACATTCCCTTCTGCTTCTTATGTTATCGTGCGTGGTTTGTGCAATCTCTTCTGATTCGTCTTGTGTATTTGCCACATGATTTTTGCTGTTGTAAAGTTGGATGTTGTAACACAGTCTCATTAAGTCGGAAAATGAATGATTCGGCACTAGTTTAGAATGGGTTATTTCTGTTTGGGGGGGCAAAAAGGAGAAGGAGGAGGTATGGAAGGGGACAAGTGTGGAAATGAGCTGCAATCTAGTTGTATTAAGATAGAACATGTATTTGTATCAAGACATTTTTATTTTTGAAGAGAGAATGCACGTCACTTATATTTACTGTATTAGCGATCCAAGAAAAAAAAACTTGGATACACGTTTCGATTATCAGTGGATCTACTCCAGCGAAAGTTCAATAAAGACGTTTAAACACAAACTTTATATTCTGTGAACCATTTTACTTGATTCAATTTTGATTCCACATTCTCATGCCACCAATTTTTCCATCCGCTCTTCCATTCACGCCTCTGCTTCGTCTCTTTAACCAAATTACCAAACCCGTCATTTTTAATACTTATTCCCACAACTTTTCCAGAACCCGTACCACACTTTCTCTCATAAACCCGTCTACCGCCACATCGCTCCCTTCTGTCCTTTCCTCGACTCCTGTCGACGTTTCCTCTGCTGTTCATGCAGCACAGAAAGCGTTGCACGGCAACTGGGGACAATTATCCGGTGCAGAAAGGAGAGAAGTATTGAGAGACATTGCAGATGCAATCGAAAAGCGTTTAAAAGATTTTGTACAAGTGGAAATTACAAATGCGGGAATGGTAAAAAAGGATGCGATAGATGAAGTTAACGAAGCGGTAGAGTGTTTTCGGTAAAAAGTGTTTGAATAAAGTATACAGCAAGTCGAGACTAAAGAGAGGTTTCCCATAATTTTGATCCGGTTTTTTTACCATCCGCCTCTTTTTTTTTCTCTTACGTAATAGCTTCTTCGCAGGATATGCCGACAAGCGTTATGGTACATCCTATTCTGCACTCTCTCGTATTTACCACTCTTACAAGGTCCCTTCTCCATATGGTATCACTGCATTGATCACTCCTTTTAATTATCCTCTTCTTCTTGCATGCTGGAAACTGGCCCCCGCATTAGCTTGCGGTAACACAGTCCTCCTCAAACCCGCACCACAGACTCCGTTAGCTGCGTTGTTGTTGGGCAAGGTTATTGAGGATGTTGGTGTAGACAAGGGAGTCGTAAATGTATTGCCTGGAGGTAGAGACGTTGGGCTGGAAGTGGTGAAGAATGAACACGTTAAAATGGTTAGCTTTACCGGAAGTCTCAAAGGAGGGCGAGAAGTCTTGAGAACGATAGGAAATGAAGATGAAAATTCAACACCAAAGAGCATATATGGGTCACGCGTTAACCACTCGAACGCAATGGAATTCACTAAACCGACGGCAACCCTAAAAAAAATGCTCTTAGAATTGGGCGGAAATGCTCCCTTGATCGTCTTCCCGGACGTAGACTTGTCAGCCGCGGTCGAAGACGTTATAATGGCATCCTTTTCCAATGCAGGGCAAAATTGCTGTGCTGGAAAGCGTCTCTACATCCACCAAGATGTCTATTCAAAGTTTCTCGACAAACTTTACGATCGCGTAAAATCCCTTCGTGTCGATAATGCAGACAAAGAAGATACTGAAGTAGGACCTGTTATCAGCGAAACTGCTCTTAATGAGATTGTTGAATGGGTTGAGAGGGAAATAGAGGCGAAAAAAGTCGAGGTCATTTACGGCGGAAAAAGAATGGAGAGAAAGGGGTTTTTCGTATATCCGACATTGTTAAAGCCGACAACCAATGATGCGAACGTGGGATACGACGCAGGTGAAGTATTCGGACCCGTTCTGACGGTAATGTCTTTTCGTTCAATGGAAGAGGTCGTCGCATCTGCCAATTTGTCGGGATATGGATTAGCGGCTGGTGTATGGACGAGCGATTTCGCACGAGCAGAATATTGTATCAGCAAATTAAATGCAGGCGTAGTTTGGGTTAATTGTTATAATGCTACACATCCTTATTTGTGTTTTGGTGGGATGGGAAATAGTGGTTTTGGAAGGGAATTGGGTGTAGAAGCGATGAAGGAATATTCGGTGCTGAAGAGCATCTGTGTCAGGAGGGGGAAATTGTAAATAAAGTTAATGCAGTCGAGATATGTTTATGCACGTCGCCTGCGAATGCACTTTTTGGGTTTAAAGACTATTTTTGTGTCACCAAATATTCCCAATACAGTTGGCTCCTTCATCATCGTTATTACTTGACAACGTTTAGTTAATAGATCATAAGATCTGCCTCCCCCCTTTTTTTCTGGCGATAGCCCCTGAAATCAGACATACAGGTAACAGCGGGTTAATATTATTAATCTGTCACAATTAATGCCTTAGCACATGATACAAACAAGAACTGACCGGGTGATTTTTATACCTCGAATATGCATCGTTGACAACCATACAGGCTTGCTTGGTATAATAGAATTGGTACTCTCATTACCCCTATCCAACGCTATGTCTTATGAGTGAACGTTTAACTGCTACGTCACAAAGAAAAGTCGATCGATCTATCCATTCATGACAACTAAAAATGACTGGACTTTAATATATTAATCATCCTTCATATTTGTTCTAACTTGATTCAAAAAATAATTTTTATACTCAACGCTTCTTGACAAATTATTATTTTATTTGAAAAGGTTTTTAATTATCATTTTGAAAAATATTGAAAATTATAGATATAGTTTTGATAGGTGTGGAAATTGAAGTCGGTACAATTGAAAACTCAGAGGAAACATCGACGGGCAGAACATTTTTTCCTATTAATCAACATGACGTTATGACAATGCATTATAAGAAATACTATGCTACTTGCGAAGAACTTATTAAGTTTACAATAAAACATTATTGCTTATTAGGCCTTACTAAAGTATCGAGATGAATAAAAACAAGTGCACTTTTAATAACAAATAACGACTATTAATAGTCATTACAAGAGACAAAACCACTCCAGGGAAATAGTTTTACTTTCTGGCAGTAACCAAATTACTTTTCTGCTAGAAAAAAGGCTTGCTGTATAAACAGATTTACATTATTACCCGAATTTGTCTACTTTTGTACTTCAAATAATAGTCTATTCGCAAGAGCGTCATAACGTGAGATTATAATTATGTGATACGTTGGTGTTCGAAATATAAGCATACGAACGCTCCGCTGCAAAATACATAAGTTTACCAACTTGTTACCAATCCGAAACACATGGAAGGAACTTTTGATAATCAAATAATTCTGAAATTCACAGATCGTCGCCAGAATTGAAACAATTCCATAAAATTTCGAGTACGCGGTTCCGCACCATCCTAGTCAACTTTAGAACACAAACACGCATAAAAGGTTGAACATAATATTCTACACAGAATATACCCGACACAACTTTATTATTGTAAATGGTTATTACACTTGTTAAAGTTATTCTTCCTAACATTAGTACAGAAAATTCTGTGTGACACCCTTTTCTTATGTTTGTTAATCTTAATTTGCTAGCGTACTCCTTAATTTGTTTTTCTTATTTCTTTCTTTACTCCAGCCTGTTCTGCTGCTTTTTCATACCATTCAAGTGCCATTTTAATATGCTGACTGGCACAATTCAGTTACACTCTTAATGGCAAAATGAGATCCAGCAATTTTGCTATCGTGTTTATTGTTCTCAACTTGCACTGTTTTACTGCACTCTGATATAACTCAATTGCTTTTTGGTCATCTTTCTCTACTCCAATTCCATTAGCATAACATTCAGCAAAATTGAGCAACAGCATGTCCTTGTTCAGCTGCTTTTTTATAACATTCAACTGCTCTTTCTCTACCCCAATTCCATTTTCATAACATTAAAGCAAGACCTAATTGAGTAATGACATATCCTCTTCAGCTGCTCTTTTAAACAGCTCCACTGTTTTCTGACCATTTTCCTCTACTCCGATTCCATTCTCATAACACCCACGAAGATTAAATTGAGCATTGACATCTCCTTGTTCAGCGACTGTGTGATATGATTTATATTGATCTTCTTTTGCCATTCTAGTATAAGTCTCACATATAGCAAAAAGGGTTTTCAGATAAAAAAACAGTGTGCAAGGCTGAAGCCGGACAAATACGCAAGGCAGTGTGACGGGAAGTACTTGTATCGCAGTCAGGATTAAGACTCTCAGTGTTACAACCGAATGGCGACGAATCTTGTAGCACACAAATGCAGCAAAAATTGCGAAATTGTTTACGTATAACAAATTTTGATCTTCATTTCAATAATTGTTTTCATATTCCTTGCCATAGTTCTCTTATTCAGTAATTAAATATACGATATTGTTATTTGCTTCATTCAGGGTAAAGTCGCCAAAAAGTTAAACACTTAACCTCACCGACGGTAACGAGGGTCGAGCTTGTCATCGATTCCGTAGGGACTTTGACGATAGGATTATTATTTACAAACGCGATTTAGTGAATGATAACTTCCTCAGCTTATTGAACTACATAAGACTGATTAAGGACATTAATGTCAGTAATAGGCTTAGCTCATTTTTATATATTATACTCCTTGTGATTAGTAAATCCAATTCCAGATACAGTACATATGTATTACTATCTGGGCTGTGCCTTTAATGCTTCTTGGGCGATTGTCATAGCGTGAGCTAGGTTCATGCGCTACGGCAATGCTGCGGCTCCATTTTGCCCAAATAACGCAAAATAAGCCCATAGCTGTTTAGCTCCCGGTTTACCTGGATTCTCGAGTTTTCCGGACGATATAGCATTTTGTAGCCAGATTAATAACTTTTGATTTTTTCTAGAGACCTAAATGTTCGTGGAGTATCTTCCTGACTCCGATTTTTCGCATAACCTGTTACGCCAGCATTTCTGCCGGAGGCATACAAAGCATTATTATACCATCAGTAAGGGCTTGCAAATCAGGACACGTATTAATATTGTAACCGATTCTAAGGTAAAATGATCTTGGTAATCAATTTTTTCAAAATCCCCAGTAAATTTTCGACGATTTCTGTGTAATCTCAGAAATTTTTGTCGCTATACGGAGCATTAAGAGTCCGTAATTCTTTGCGAAGCCGAGAGAGCCTAGAGGACCCAGTCATTCGTATCATTACGCTTGCCCGTTTATCGAAGGCGTCTTCGTGCTTGATTCCGCTTTCTATAATCCGTAAGGCCTTTGAGCAATCCAGAAGTAAGGTCGGTTGTTCTCATCTCTGGAGTAAGATTGTATTTTCAACGATTTTTGTTGCAATAGCAGACATTGTAATAATTATATCGATTTTAGGTTATACCCACTTGGATCGATTATATACTATGCAAAATACTCTTTCAATTCGAAAAGACTTATTCATTGGTTGCCTCTTGGTCGTATTATTAATTTTTAATTCGATTTAGTATGAAGAACAAAAAAATTCTCTGCTTCGCAGAGCGCTCTGCGCTTCCTTATCAATATGTCTACCCCTGTATAATCTGATCGTGCGCGTGGAAAACGTACTAGCCATTTTCTTGGGGTATCGCGATATTGTTTACCCATTCTTCGTCACTATAGACTGGTGTATCCTCATTCTCCCATTCACGGAGATATATCTCCTCACCTATCAACCGCTCAATAGAGCCGGGTCATTCGAAGCAACCGAGATGTTTCGTGTGTTTGATTAATATAATACAACCATTCAATTCATTGAGCAGCTTAGTTTATTAACGGAAATTCGTGGTGTTCTTCTAGTAAAAACAACAAGTTTGTCCCCTTCATAGTCTTCTATAGTTTGTTGAGCATCTTTTCAAACCATGTTTTACAATGAATTTGCTGAAATAAATACGGATGTTTTTTTTTCTCGTGGGATTTCTTAGCCGTAAGATCTGCTGAATTGCCAGTTGCTACAAAGGCCATCGCGAAATATCAGAGGCGTTTATCTGCTAAAAATTTTCCCGAAATTCTTTGCAGTCTTATTGTCAATACTGGAGCATCTCTCGACCTAGCTTCAAAAAAGATATCAGCTCAGCTAAATCTGACCGTGTAAACGTATCTAACAATATTAAAGGAATTGCGAGAAAATTGAAGCTGCCGATGCGGAATTAATGGCCAATGCCCCAGACATTAGTCCTGACGACGCTGAAATTATCAAACAAATGCCTACCGTTATTTACCGATTACAACGCCATTATTTATATGCTTCAGGTGATATTAATATTAATATAGGAGGTTTGGATGATACTCGAGACTGGGGCATGATACCATTGATTGGATTAAACTATGTAATATAGATTTCGTAAAAACAATTCAACAATCCTGAAACCTTATTACATTTTAAGAAACTGGCATATTCCCAAAGACAAGGTTCTAATGCAATGAAAGCTTTGGAAAATATAAAATAAAGAAGAGATGCAAATCAATTTCCCTTTCTGTGTTACCAAAATTCCAATAATAATAACGGGTTGAAATAGGTAAATCAAATAAGATTGCCAAAGAAATAAGAGAGCTGTATAACGTTATTAACGAATAATGCCACACAGATACAGACTTAATCTAAAGAGCAGTACTGCTTAGGTGCTTACTAGCTACGATCACGACAAATTATTATTTCGCCCTAGTGGTAGCTTGACGTATCCCAAATGGGAAGAGGTAAAATACAACTGAAGTCTCATAACACAAAAAACGTCTAATCATATCACAGGTTATTTGTATCTCAAATCGTTTAGTGAATTATTAAAGGGATTGGAACGACGATTGAAATTCAATGGGCATTCGAGTTCATATGTAAGTATTCCTTCTTTGCGAAATAGTTGTCTTTTGATCTTTAATACTAACGTGACTTTTGTGATTATACCCACAGCCCTGGCATGGTCACCTCAATGCTTCTGTAAGGGATTTATGCCATTATCCAGTATAGCGTTGGGAAGCAAAGCTGGCATTATTACTTTGTGGAGGTTGTTGTTATAGTAAACATTATTATCACCTTTCAAATTCTCTCGTTTCTAACATTCGGCGATATTCTTTTTATATCTCGCGCTCATTACACAGTTATACTTACTATCTTGTTTACAAGATTGATGCGTGTCGGTCCTGGATAATTACTTTGGAATGGTCGCGCTGGTGGACGACTGATGACGATACAAGTCAGTTTGGTACTGATGTTGTGATGATAAGGTCCCAGCGGGCTTGCCATAACTCTACTCGGCACGCACTGCTGATAGTTGGATGTCTCGATGGATCTTGTTCTTTGCGGAAAATAACACTTTGTTATAGAAGATCAGAGCTACCTGATCAGGAGGAAGATGAGATTAATGCAGAGAAAGAAACTGTTTTACTTGAAGGAGACAAACGAGAGCCTTGTTTTAATAAAATGGTATTCAGATCATGTATTTTATCATACGACTAAACATAATATATTAACCTTTGTGCTTCAATTCACAGTGTTATCAACGCGATAAACTCGCCATGAGCAAAATGTCTATGCTATTTATATGGGCGCCAACGCTTCCTGTTTATGACAATTTTGAATCTGTCATGCCAATCACTTTTGATTTCTCTGATACTGTGCTCATTGCCGGTAAATATTGATAATTCGTTCTCCTCCTATGATTTCTTCCCCGTTAATTGAATATAGCTTATCGCTCGACTGGAAACCTTTTAGGCATAAGCTGGAATAATGATGGTACTCAACTGAGCGCCTTCAGCTTGGAAGGAAAGCAATGGGTTCTCGACATTTCAGATTTTGGCAAATTAATTAACAAAGCCGCTACGGAACGCTTGAGGGAAAATGTAGAAAATCAGTTAAAAGACGCGTTTTGGAAGGTGATGGTCGACGAAAAAGATCCCGAAAATGAAAGTGAAGATGATGAAGGCGACGATGAAATTGGTTCTCCACTACCCTTTAATATTGATGGGCTTGACGGTAACTTTGATGGGATAACGAATGAAGATGACGCAGATGTTGAAGAAGAAGAAGAAGAAGAAAGTTTTAGACCGGTACAAGTACAAGCAAAACCAGCAATCCAAAAGTATTAAGAACAATAGAACAGATTGCGAAGAGACTATGGCCGAAAGCTGTATTTCAAAAAGACGGTGTAACAAATAATGAAACATGGACATGGATGAAGCAAAGGCATATACGTCGAATTTGTTAATGCAACTGCAAATGAGATGCATCAGCGAATGGAATATTTGTGGCTTTTGTTTTCGCGTACGTTTATTTTATTTATTCTATTATGACTTTTTCGTAAATTGCAAGACGTGTACTTGTTCTGATATGTGTTGGGTCTGCCTTAAAGTGATATCTGGTTATGACATGGACTATTTGACAACCAAATCAAAACAAAGCCTATCTGTGTTTTGTCCTGACCGAAAACGATGAACTTGATGTTGGCATAATAGAAACGTACTCTAACGGTCTTGCATTGTCAATCGAGAATAAACATTTGAGTGAGAATTCAATACGACTGTTTCATTTACTTTGTATTTCACGTGTTATTTTATTGATGTTTTTTTTCCCCCCTAGTTCTGGAAGCCTCCCCCGCTTATCTTCTCTGGGATTTCCTCGAATATGCCGATTTCGAACTGCATTTTGATGGACCCGATAACTTTTCGAATCTCGTGCAAACTTGTGAACGGCAATACACGAAATTTTCTGAAACGTCGCTGATAGACTATTGGGAACAAACATCTGGATTTGATATTCTGTACGTCTGCAAGGTGACGCGAGCATAAACAGCAAAAGATGACTCTTGACGTTTTCATTCATTGTAGGAATTCAAGTACAGAAGATTTGATTGAATAGTGGAGAGATTTCTTTTATGACGACTGCGCTTTTAATGCGCGACGGCTTATTATATATCTCTACAGTTCGATTAAGGTAATTTTGGTGAATAGTACATGTCGTAATTTTGACAGTCAGCACTTACTTTTCTTAAGCACTTAGAACTCAGCAGTGAGCTTCTATCCAAATCAGAAGGAATGAAATATGAGCACATATCACTGATTGAAAAGCAGCAGCTGAACATTATTTTAAAAGTGGCGGATTATGGTAAGTATACTGTACTTTCGACTAGACTGGTGAGTTTGCGGTTCACTTAGTCCGCCCTCGTTGTCCAACGATTTGAGTGGGTGGGCAGTGGGTTGACACGGCGTTTATGTGAATAATAATTCTATTTGATCATTCACTCTTAGTCGAAGATCAACGGTTTATATTGCGCGCCTGTGATTACGCAATTTTGCACCAGAAGGATGACAAGTCTTTACTTCAACTAGTCAAACACGAAATCAAGTTTTGACTTGTTTTATTTTAAAGCAGATAATTTTCCTTTGACTCTGTGCGGTATAATAATTGGTCTTGTTATATCGTATGTACCTATTTATATTTGATACGCGTGATTATTCTCGCATAGTAAAGTAAGATTATAAATTAGGTGTCTAGCTGATGATTGGGGTGGCGAGATGAAGCTAAATTAGTGTTTACATGTCAATTTCGAATGGAGAGAAGTTCATTAAATATTACTAACGCGTTTTCTAGTATTAGTATGTTGGCATACTGCAAGCATTCATTTTGTTGTGTTCCGACAAACTTTATTTCCTCACGTGTTAGGCTGTAGAAATGCTGTTGGAGATAAAAATATACATACATTACATTGGATAACTGTATAATTGAATCAAATAGATCAGTTCAGTTCTTACGGAAAGTTAGTTGTAAACTATTAACATGCAATGTTATACCAGTCTATATTTTGTTGCAGTATTAAACTTGATAATCTATGCGTTTAGATCGAATTCAATTAAAATGAAAATTAATTTATCTGCTTATCTTTGAAGTTTTGCATACATAATTCGTGTGCTTAGCTGATAGAAAGTCATCGATGTGTTTCAGATAACTATTATTGTGTCAATGTATTCCACTATTTTCATGCATTTGGGTAAGGATAAAAATTTAACCAAATAATTAGTAGATAACTCTCGCTGTCCCGGCGATATATAAGGTCCGAATGGCATTAATTGTTTCCATTATCCCCTTTTTGGTAATTAAATACTATAATGCCTGATATATCCTTGCGCAAACTGCATATATTTCGTTGATACAAATATATTATTACTGGTTATAGGCAAAGTTCGATGATATTAAATCTGACACAGTAATAGTGAGCATTTGTTAATCACCGTATGACGGTGTATACTGTATTCTATACCGTTTTGTAACTTTGCTCCCTTTCAAACAAAGCAAATGAATGTTTAACTTTTCATTTGGCAAGAAAACAATGTTTAAAAAAGCAGGAACCGATTATTTTACAAATACTGCGGTGAAAATATTCTTTATTACATAAACATATTTCATATTAATAATTGTATTCTAACTACTATCGTCATTTTTCGTTTCCTAAGTAGTAATGACGAATGTCAATACAGTAAAGTCTCATCACAATAACTTATTTTACTTATTACGTTAATCCGTTGCATTGCAATCTTTTTAATTCGCGTCCAATCCACACCGTTAAGACTCCAAGTATCGGGATAACTCCCCTTTCAAATAGTGCTGGTTGTTATCCTACAAGGTGATGGATAAAAATAAATTAGCGTTTTTTTAATACAGTTTTTTACTGTTTTTTCTGTTACAGATGCAAAATTGGCTCCCGGAGGTTTCCTCCAGCTGTGCTAAACTGATTAGGAAAAAAAATGCTATCGCTTTGTTGACTTCTGCTCAAGCTCGACATTATATCTTGACGATAACGATACGATAATGTCTATGAATAATTTTGGTCTTATTTTTATGTTTGGCGCACAAATTAGTTTCGACGTTGTTTGGTATTGTAAAACACCACGCAACGTGTTTCACTAACGGTAATAGCATACGCCGTAAGGAAGAACATCGGGGAGGAGCGAACTGGTTAGCAAATTAATTTCAAATTTCCATAATGCTATTAACCATTATTATACCTTCGTAGTAATAATATCTCGTTACGAGTTCTTAACATGACAAGAATGATGAAGAGAAGTATTAGACTGTTAAAGTTCTTTACCTATTGAAGACGTAGTACAAGTTTAGATTAGCAAAACATGTGTAATGTAACACACATGTTAACATTTACAGCATTTGTTGAATTTTCTAATTCAACCTGTTACTATGTCGCTAGCATCAGAGACTGTTAATAATCCAACCATTGTCAACTTGATCCAATCCAGTTATGTGGATGAATACAATAAACTTGAATGCATTTCTTTCGAAGAAATCACCAACGTAAAGCCAACTCAAATTGACAACGTTACTGCGCTATCCGCAAACGTATTGCGATAACGCTAGTACTACTTGGAAACACGGAAGAATGCAACCCAACACTTGTGAGTGAGTTTGCCAGAATATACTCACTTCCAACACGGAAGTACAATAACAATGACGACAATAACTTTAGACAATACTCCGCATGGCTTGAGAGTCGCAACAAACTCATTATTGGATTCACCAAATCCAATGACGATAACTACTACATGGTTGCTGATAAACTCTTTTACCATTGTTATTCTCGATATGGCTTCTGCTCCACATGTGGAATACTCCGATGTAGTCCCGTATGGTGCA